ATTTTTTTCCGATTTTTTTTTCCAATTTTCGTTTTTCTGATACGGGCGGGTGGGGACGCTGACTATCAAAATTTTTTTAAATAAATTCTTATTGGTCACGTTTTAAGGAGCATGAATCCCTCTTTAATTTGCGACCAAGAAACAAAGATTTGGTCTGAAATTGTTCGAGTTATGAATTTTTTTCCGATTTTTTTTCCAATTTTCGTTTTTCTGATACGGGCGGGTGGGGACGCTGACTATCAAAAATTTTTTAAATAAATTCTTATTAGTCACATTTTAAGGACCATTAATCCCTCTTTAATTTGCGACCAAGAAATAAGCGTTTGGTCTAAAATTGTTCGAGTTATGAATTTTTTTACGATTTTTTTTTCCAATTTTCGTTTTTCTGATACGGGCGGGTGGGGACGCTGACTATCAAAATTTTTTTAAATAAATTCTTATTGGTCACGTTTTAAGGACCATGAATCCCTCTTTAATTTGCGACCAAGAAACAAAGATTTGGTCTGAAATTGTTCGAGTTATGAATTTTTTTCCGATTTTTTTTCCAATTTTCGTTTTTCTGATACGGGCGGGTGGGGACGCTGACTATCAAAAATTTATTAAAAATATTTTCAATTGTCACATTTTGAAGAGCAATAATCCCCCTTTAATTTCCGACCAAGAAATAAGCGTTTGGTCTGAAATTGTTCGAGTTATGAATTTTTTTCCGATTTTTTTCCCAATTTTCGTTTTTCTGATACGGGCGGGTGGGGACGCTGACTATCAAAAATTTTTTAAATAAATTCTTATTGGTCACATTTTAAGGACCAAGAATCCCTCTTTAATTTGCGACCAAGAAACAAAGATTTGGTCTGAAATTATTCGAGTTATGAATTTTTTCCAATTTTTTTCCCAATTTTCGTTTTTCTGATACGGGCGGGTGGGGACGCTGACTATCAAAAATTTATTAAAAATATTTTTAATTGTCACATTTTGAAGAGCAATAATCCCCTTTTAATTTCCGACCAAGAAATAAGCGTTTGGTCTGAAATTGTTCGAGTTATGAATTTTTTTCCGATTTTTTTCCCAATTTTCGTTTTTCTGATACGGGCGGGTGGGGACGCTGACTATCAAAAATTTATTTAAAATATTTTCAATTGTCACATTTTAAAGAGCAATAATCATCCTTTAATTTCCGACCAAGAAATAAGCGTTTGGTCTAAAATTGTTCGAGTTATGAATTTTTTTCCGATTTTTTTTCGAATTTTCGTTTTTCTGATACGGGCGGGTGAGGACGCTGACTATCAAAATTTTTTTAAATAAATTCTTATTGGTCACGTTTTAAGGACCATGAATCCCTCTTTAATGTGCGACCAAGAAACAAAGATTTGGTCTGAAATTGTTCGAGTTATGAATTTTTTTCCGATTTTTTTTCCAATTTTCGTTTTTCTGATACGGGCGGGTGGGGACGCTGACTATCAAAATTTATTTAAATAAATTCTTATTGGTCACATTTTAAGGACCATTAATCCCTCTTTAATTTGCGACCAAGAAACAAAGAATTGGTCAAAAATTATTCGAGTTATGAATTTTTTCCAATTTTTTTCCCAATTTTCGTTTTTCTGATACGGGCGGGTGGGGACGCTGACTATCAAAAATTTATTAAAAATATTTTCAATTGTCACATTTTAAAGAGCAATAATCCCCCTTTAATTTCCGACCAAGAAATAAGCGTTTGGTCTAAAATTGTTCGAGTTATGAATTTTTTTCCGATTTTTTTTCCAATTTTCGTTTTTCTGATACGGGCGGGTGGGGACGCTGACTATCAAAAATTTTTTAAATAAATTCTTATTGGTCACATTTTAAGAACCAAGAATCCCTCTTTAATTTGCGACCAAGAAACAAAGATTTGGTCTGAAATTATTCGAGTTATGAATTTTTTCCAATTTTTTTCCCAATTTTCGTTTTTCTGATACGGGCGGGTGGGGACGCTGACTATCAAAAATTTATTAAAAATATTTTCAATTGTCACATTTTGAAAAGCAATAATCCTCTTTTAATTTTCGACCAAGAAATAAGCGTTTGGTCTGAAATTGTTCGAGTTATGAATTTTTTTCCGATTTTTTTCCCAATTTTCGTTTTTCTGATACGGGCGGGTGGGGACGCTGACTATCAAAATTTTTTTAAATAAATTCTTATTGGTCACGTTTTAAGGACCATTAATCCCTCTTTAATTTGCGACCAAGAAACAAAGAATTGGTCAAAAATTATTCGAGTTATGAATTTTTTCCAATTTTTTTCCCAATTTTCGTTTTTCTGATACGGGCGGGTGGGGACGCTGACTATCAAAAATTTTTTAAATAAATTCTTATTGGTCACATTTTAAGGACCAAGAATCCCTCTTTAATTTGCGACCAAGAAACAAAGATTTGGTCTGAAATTGTTCAAGTTATGAATTTTTTTCCGATTTTTTTTCCAATTTTCGTTTTTCTGATACGGGCGGGTGGGGACGCTGACTATCAAAAATTTATTAAAAATATTTTCAATTGTCACATTTTGAAGAGCAATAATCCCCCTTTAATTTCCGACCAAGAAATAAGCGTTTGGTCTAAAATTGTTCGAGTTATGAATTTTTTTCCGATTTTTTTTCGAATTTTCGTTTTTCTGATACGGGCGGGTGGGGACGCTGACTATCAAAATTTTTTTAAATAAATTCTTATTGGTCACGTTTTAAGGACCATGAATCCCTCTTTAATGTGCGACCAAGAAACAAAGATTTGGTCTGAAATTGTTCGAGTTATGAATTTTTTTCCGATTTTTTTTCCAATTTTCGTTTTTCTGATACGGGCGGGTGGGGACGCTGACTATCAAAATTTTTTTAAATAAATTCTTATTGGTCACATTTTAAGGACCATTAATCCCTCTTTAATTTGCGACCAAGAAACAAAGAATTGGTCAAAAATTATTCGAGTTATGAATTTTTTCCAATTTTTTTCCCAATTTTCGTTTTTCTGATACGGGCGGGTGGGGACGCTGACTATCAAAAATTTATTAAAAATATTTTCAATTGTCACATTTTAAAGAGCAATAATCCCCCTTTAATTTCCGACCAAGAAATAAGCGTTTGGTCTAAAATTGTTCGAGTTATGAATTTTTTTCCGATTTTTTTTCGAATTTTCGTTTTTCTGATACGGGCGGGTGAGGACGCTGACTATCAAAATTTTTTTAAATAAATTCTTATTGGTCACGTTTTAAGGACCATGAATCCCTCTTTAATGTGCGACCAAGAAACAAAGATTTGGTCTGAAATTATTCGAGTTATGAATTTTTTCCAATTTTTTTCCCAATTTTCGTTTTTCTGATACGGGCGGGTGGGGACGCTGACTATCAAAAATTTATTAAAAATATTATCAATTGTCACATTTTGAAGAGCAATAATCCCCTTTTAATTTCCGACCAAGAAATAAGCGTTTGGTCTGAAATTGTTCGAGTTATGAATTTTTTTCCGATTTTTTTCCCAATTTTCGTTTTTCTGATACGGGCTGGTGGGGACGCTGACTATCAAAAATTTATTTAAAATATTTTCAATTGTCACATTTTGAAGAGCAATAATCATCCTTTAATTTTCGACCAAGAAATAAGCGTTTGGTCTAAAATTGTTCGAGTTATGAATCTTTTTCCGATTTTTTTCCCAATTTTCGTTTTTCTGATACGGGCGGGTGGGGACGCTGGCTATCAAAAATTCGAACAATTTTATACCAAATGTTTATTTCTTGGTCACAAATTAAAGGGGGATTATTGCTCTTTAAAATGTGACTATTGCAATTTTTTTCTATAAACTGTAATAGCTAACGTACGTTGTTTTTGCGTTGATTGAATGGCATAGGGCCACCGCGTTACTATGTGTGTCGGCGCCTATGGATTTTTCTGATGGCTGGCGGCCGGCGGGTCGCTAGTTTCACCGAGCCTAAGTAATTATAATAATTAATTAATAACAAATTTAGTAAATACAAAAAAACAACTGAAAAATTTCAAGAGAAAATAAATTTGACTTTATATATTTTTCACACTTTGAAAATAAAAATAAGTTGCATTTTATAACAATAAAAAAATTATTTATCAAAATTATATTTATCAATTTTTCTTTATTTAAAAAAAAAGTTATTTGTTCTGCGATTTCTGAAAGAAAAATTCTGAAAGAAAAATCTCTTAAATTAAGAGAGTATTTATTAGATTATTAAATTCAATACTTATCCAGTCTTTAAATAATTTCAAATATTCATGGATTTACAGAAACTTTGCTTTTCATTCGATAATTTCAAATTAAAGCTACTCGTAACAAAACTAATTAACGGAGTAATTTTAAACTTCCAATAAATCAGATTTACATTTGACGTTAACTTTGAAAAGTAAAACTTTCATCTAAATACAAATTGACTTGCTACCATTGCTGGTTAGCAAATATTTTATTCCCCAGTAATTTTTTGAATTAAAAACTAATGATCATTTACAAAATAATAATAAATAAAAGTTTCCAAAAAACAAATCTAAAAATAATTTTCCCAAAGTTCTCAACTTTCAAAGAAACGCTATTTTTTCTGTTCAAATATTTTTTGGTAAATTTACGAAACAAATTGTACAATAATATAAATTAAATATTTTATTTTTATAAATTTACCCAATAAATTGAACAACAGAATTAAATATTTTCCCTTAGTTAGGAATGAAGTTTTTTTAATAAACAGAATAATTTCTGAAATTAAAATATTATAATAATATAATTATAAATAAATGTTATAAATAAATTAAAATATTTAACAAAAAATATCGTCTTTTATTTGAAAGTTGAAATTTTTAGGAACATTAAATCTGTCAAAAATTTTTTCAAAAAAAAATGAGATTTATTTAATGTTTTTTTATTTTATTTTTTTTTATTATAAATTATTAATTTAATTTAATTTTTTAAATTTCTTTTTAACTGTATTAAATTTGTGTGAAAAATAATTTGCAATTATCGCCAGGAATGACACAAATTACAACAATGCCTGTGACAACTCAGCGATCCTCAACGGAATATTTGAATAGTTCTATGGCGATGCCTGTACAAATGGTGGAACATGAGGAGCCAACAAAATCGAGCGCTTCTGAACAATTTCTGGGTGAACTCATCGACGGTACATACTGTTCTCGAATATTCACTGACTGTGACAAAAAAAAATGCCGACTACAGTCGCCAAATTTTCCCGGTCTCTATCCACGAAATCTCACCTGCTACTATGCTGTAAGTGCTTTCCAATAATCATAAACATAAAAAAAAGAAGATAGAGAAAAAAAGTACTATACTCTCGAATATTATACTTATACCCTCGAAATTAAAAATTCCTTGCTATAAAAACGTAAGGGAAAAAAATTGTATCGTATTAAATATTGTTTGTACGGTAAAAGTTAATATATAGAAAAGTTGGAATTACATACTTTTTCAATTTTGGTTTTATAACGAACCAGGAGGTCGATAGTGTAATTTTGTTTCTGCTTTGACTTTTATTTTCGCTTTTCCTTTAAGTTTCATTTTCATTTTCATTTTCATTTTCATTTTCATTTTAAAGGATTTTTAGTTTCGATTTTATTTCCACTTTAAAGGAATTTTGGTTTCATTTTCACTGTCACAGAATTTTTACTTTCCCTTTTATTTTAACTCTGATAGATTTTTAGTGGCAGTAAAAATCCATCAAAGTGAAAATGAAAGTGAAAATAAAAATTTTTGTTTAATTTTTAGTTACATAGTTTCTACATTGATAGATTTTTATTTTCCCTTTCATTTTCACTTTAACAAAATTTTTTAAGTGGTGGTAAAAATTCATCAAAGTAAAAATGAAAGTGAAGATAAAGATTTGCTACAAAGTGAAAGTGAAAAATAAGAGTAAAGGTAAAAAATTAATAATTATTTAATTAATTAGTGGAAATGAATGTGAAAATGATAGTGATAACAAAAACCCATGAAAGTAAAAGTGAAAATGAAAGTCGAAGAAATTAAATTAAATAATTGACCCTTAGAAAATATTATTATTAATATTACCATATTACTAGCTAGAGTATTATTAAAAGTAATTCTACACTTAAAATGTATTTGTACGTTTTGCACGTTTACGTTTTCCACAAGTGAAACATTAAAATTGTTAAAACAGAAAAATTTTGAAGGCAAATCCATTTATCAATTTGTGTGTGGCATTTGCTGGCAACAAGACTTGCAACCTCAAGGGAGTCTTTCAAATGCATTTCATGCAGTTTGTACCTCCCTAATTATGTTTCCGGTAGTGTAATTTTGGCAAATTTCTGATATAACGTCACTTCCTGGAGGCAAGACCATTATTCTCCATATGGTAACTAGACAGTTTGCCCATGAGATTGCAAAGGGAATATGGGCTTCGATTAGAACTACTTGCTATGCGACGTATCATAAAGCCAATGAGAAACTATTCCCCTCAAATGGAGGGTAGTTTCTTCAGTTTTTAACTTTCTGCCTAACAGCAAAAGCCAAATTTACTATTATTTACTACTCTCTGAATTTTAATTAGTAAAAATGTTTGCTTATTTGAATTCTGTCACTAATGAATATTAGTGACAGAATTTTTGCTTTTAAATTAGTAAAATTTACTAATAATTAGTAGAAATTACTATTTATTAGTAAAATTTACTATAATTAAAGAGCAAAAAAGTAAATAACTATTTACGATTTATTTTTTATTTATTATTTACTTCTCTCTTAATTTTAATTAGTAAAAACATTTACTAATTTGAATTAGTGACCGACTTTTTACTTTCAAATTTGTCTTTTACTAATAAATAGTATTTCCTACTAATTTATTAGTGAATTTTATTAATTCAAAACCAAAAAGTCAGTCACTAATTTAAATTAGTTAGTGAACATTGTTACTAATTTAAATTTAGAGAGTATTGAGGACTCAATAGCCCTAGAAGATTATTTTTCGAAGTAAATAAATAAAGTAAACATTTATTACTACTTTTATTGCTATTTTTTATCATTCATATTATCATTTTTTAATTTATCAAATTTTATTAACATTATTTTTACCATTGACAGTAAAAATAAAAATATAACAATAATAATAATAATAATAATAATAATAATAATAATAATAATAATAATAATAATAATAATAATAATAATTTTTGTCTACTAATAAAATTTACTATGATAATGATAGTAAAAAAAATAATGTTATAATAATAATAAGAATAATGACAATAATAATTTTTGCCTTTTCAAATAAAATTCAGTGTGATAATGATAATAAAATAGTGATAATAATTTTGCTCTTTTAATAAAAAAATTCAGTGTAGAGTAAAAGAAATATTTAATAAAAATTTTTAATGCTGCACATTTATCTTAGGTAAGACAAACGGATGTCCCACCGGGAAAACATGCTTTAATTTCCGTAAGACAACCGCGGGGTCAATTGGTCGCTGTAAGAGCGAGACCAGCAACTCAAGCAGAACCACCGCCTCGTGAGCTTCGATTGTGGCAAGACTGCGACATCGTTCAGGTCTATTTTCGTATTTTCAACAAAAATAATTCATTTCCTCCGACAAAATATTTTTTTTCCAGTGCAACTTAAAATAACCAATTTTTTTTTAATTTTTTCAATTAAATTTATTTTTTACATATTATACAGAAGAAACCTTTTAAATAAAGGCAAAAAAATTCAAAAAATATCTGTGTATTTATAAATAAACATATTTACATAAATTTATTTATAAATACACAGATATTTTTTGAAATTTTTTTATATAAATATATATATATATATATAAATACATAAATACACAAATAGGGAAGAGTTGTGATGGTTGTATGCAATTATTCTTAAATTCTTCAATTAAATATATATTAGAAAATAAAAACGTTAAATATAATACATTAGAAAATTCTACGAGAATTCAATTATTTAAATACAAAAATAAATAATTTATTGAACAATTGAATGTTTCGTAAAATTTCGAGAAATTTGATTAAACTTGTTTTAAAAATAATTGAAATTCTGCGATGAGTTTCATATTTATGAAAATAATTGAATGTCTAAAAAGAATTTTATTATTTTTGAACACATTTAATTTTTGCCAAGAATTTTACTACTCTTGAAAATAATTGAATTTCTGCAATAATTTGTAATTTCTCCAAAATTCAATTTTTTTTACTGTTTTCAACTAAAATTCAATTATTCAATTCTTCGGAAATTATTCAATTAAATATATATTAGAAAATAAGAACTTCAAAAAATAATTTCAAGTAAAATTGAAATAAACTTTTTCAAAAAAATTTAATTCTTCTACAGACTAATTGTAATAATTGAATTCTCATAATTAATTTTATCAACAAATTTTTAAATAATTGAATTCTTTTGATGAATATTAATACAATTTTTAAGAAAAATTACATTTTTCGGGGGATTTAATTAAAATTGTATTAAAAATAATAGAAATTCCGCGATGAGTTTTATTATTTATAAAAACAATTGAATTCCTAAAAAGAATTCTAATATTTTTGAAAATATAATTGAATTCCTAAAAAGAATTTTAATCTTTTTGAAAATAATTGAATTTCTAAAAAGAATTTTAATATTTTTGAAAATAATTGAATTATTGCGAAGAAATTTATAAAAAAAAGTTTGTAAATAATTGAATTCCAGTAAAATTTTTAATAATTATGAAAATAATTAAATGTTTGCGTAGAATTATATTAAATTTTTTTTCAAATAATTGAATTCTTTTGGAAAATTTCATTAAATTTTATTAAAAATCATTGAATTGAGAAAAATTTTTGAAAATAATTGAATTGAATAATAAAATTTTTAAGAAAAATTACATTTTTCGGGGGATTCAATTAAAATTGTATTAAAAATAATTGAAATTCTGCTATGAGTTTCATTATTTATGCGATAATAATGGAATTCCTAAAAAGAATTTTAATGCTTTTGAAAACAATTGATTATCTATAAAAAAATAGTAGGTATTTACGAAAATAATTGAATCTTTTTAAAAATATTATTATTTATGGAAATAATTGAATTATTTAGAAGAAATTTATAAAAAAAATTCGTAAATAATTTAATTCCTGTGAAATTTTTATTATTTTATGAAAATAATTAAATGTTTGCGTGGAATTTTATCAAAAAATTATTTTAAATGATTGAATTCTTTTTGAAAATTTTATTAAAATAGTAGATATTAAAAATCATTGAATTCGGGAAAATTTTTGAAAATAAATAAATTTCGGAGAATAATTTTATTATTTCTACAAATAATTGAAATTTTGACGAGAATTTTAAAAAATTTTTGAACATAATTGAATTTTTGCGAAGAATTTTATTGCTTTTGAAAATATAATTGAATTTCTGGAATTATTTTTAATTTCTCTAAAATTTTCCAAATTATATCGTACAATTTACAAATTTTTCGTTCTTTTTCTATCAAATTACGGACTTTACGGACCTTCTTTAAAAAAAATGACTTTTACGAACTTGAACCAAATTTACGGACCTAGTTCGAGCCCGGTAATATAAATTTTTTTGTACAGAATATATTTATCGGTTGTCCAACCGAAACTTCGGCCGAACCATCAAAACTCTCCCCTAATATAAATATATAAATATAAATATATGAATTTATAAATATATAAATGCATACATAAATATATATGTACAAATAAATAAATGTTTAGTTAAAAAAAAGCGCAGTAGCAATATTTTTCCTTCCTCCCTTTTCTCGTTTGGAATAACAAAATTTTCTTCTCCTTCAACAGGACTACGTGACCATTTATGATGGTTATACGACTCGGGATCCAGTGATATTAAAATTCTGCGGCGGTGGCGAGCCAGTTCCAGAGGCAACGACCAGTGGACCGGAACTGCTGGTTGAATTCACCACATCTCCTTTTGGCACCTTTCTTCATCCTACGCCACCGCATTCGCTTCACGGATTTCAGTTGGAGGTTCAGGTGCGCTTCATTCCTTCGAATCGATTCTTTATTTTTTTTTATTATATATATAAAAAGCGTTTATTAAATTATAACACACAGCACTCACTAATTATACTCAATCTATAATCGTCGCAATCTTCCAAGAGAATATTGACAAAACCAGAGGGCAAAATGAATTAACTGAATTTCATCTCTTTTCTTTTCCAAAGTCCAATTCCTGTGTATGATAATATTTATCCAGAAGGATTGCAAAATAGGTGGAGAAATATTTTTTGAAATTAATTTTTCAAATGTTTTCCACAATTTACTAACTGTGATGTAAAGTTTTTAAGTACTTTAAAATATGTAAAGATTTAAAAAAAAAAATTAAAAAATAAGCCCCTAAATTTTAGATAAAATTTGTTGACGCCGAATCGCCAACTTACACGAGAGGCAAACGCTGTGAATTTTGGCTGAAGGGCAACAATGGAGGAGTTTTGACATCGCCACGTCACTCGCTGCCACGTAACAGCACTTGCCTTTATCATCTTCGAGGAGCTGGTCCAGCTCCACCCACCCAGGCTCCACCTCGACCCCTGCCTAAATTTCCCGAACAACGGCCAGGAACTGTCTGGCGAAGACCTCCACCCAGACAAGCGCAACCACAATTTCGTGTTTGGCTATCGATACTGAAATTTCATGTCGACATGAATCCAACAACTACTGACGAGGATTGCTCCACGTCCTTAAAGGTCTGGGATGGTGAGATGATGCCTTTGACGGAATGCAACGATATATCATGGTAAGGGTTTATATAGAGAGCAAGAGAGTGAGAGAGAGGATTTAACTCAAACATGTCCAACCACCCTTTGTCACTGAAGACCCTCAAGTTCCTCGAGTAATCTGAGAACATTCAAGTACCAAACCACGATCGTGTTCAACTTTTGAGAAGAATTACTCTAACGAAGATAATTGTTTTTTTTTAATTCAATTCAATTCAACTTCTAATTCTTCATTCGATAAAATCACTAGAGTGTAAAAAAGAGTTTTAAGCCTAATTTTTGCTAAAATAACTCAATTAGCAAATAGAGTATAAATTAGTCCATATTGACTGAATTAACAGTTTTCTTGAAAGTATCAAATTGATACTAAAGTGGATTAAATTGATGCCAAAAATTTTGACCAATCTTTTATTTGATCCACATTTTTGGTATCAATTCATTGCAATTTGATGCTTTTAAGTTAATAGTGTTTCAAAATAGGAAATTGATTTTAAGACCCAAGGGGATCGACCATAAATTTCTTATTAAGGCTCTAAGGACAATAATTACAATTTTTAATTTTATGACTTCAAAACTACATAATTCTATATAACACCCTATACTAATATGCACCGTGTTGAGAATTCGCATTTCGTGTTGAATAATCGTGAACTAAACTGGATTTTAATTACACCAAGTTATAACATAAAGCAACAAATTTTCCTCTCTAATATCCTCCCTCCTCTCATTCTCTTCGTTGTTTGTAATGAATACGCAACTTATTGTTTACCCATTAAACTTTCACTATGAAACATTCAGAAGTAAGTTATCAAATTAATTCCAATGCGTCAAACAATTCGAAACGTGCACTTTAATTAAAAAGTACTGGGGACATTTTAATAATATAAAAAAATTACTAACTTTTTTGTCTGACGAAATTAATTTATTTCCTAAAAACATATAAAATCTACTAAATATTAATACAAAATACAAAAAAAAAATGAAAGAAAAAAAATAAGAACGTAACTTAAGTGCCAAAATAAGTAACAATTAGTTTTTAACCCATTTTTATTCTGACGGAACTAATTTATTTTATTAAGACATAAAAACTTTTAAGAAAATTGAAAACAAGACTAGAAATTTATAGGATAAAAATAAATAGAAAGATAAAACAAAAAAATCTGAAACTAAAATAAGAAAACTAAATAACAAGTAGTTAATCCCACTTTTCAGTCAGACGAACTCAATTTTTTTAAAAACCTTCTGGGAAATCAAAAAAAGGTCAAAAAATTTACAGAATAAAAAGAAACGTAAGATAAAATAAAAAAATCTAAAACTAAAACAAGGAGATTAAATAACAAGTAGTTACTCCCACTATTTAGTCAGACAAAACTAATTTATTTTCTAAAAACATAAAAAATTTACAGAAAATCAAAAACAGGACAAAAAAAATATTTAAGAAATAAAAATAACATGAAATCTCAATTTGAAAAATATGAAATAAGAAGTGAAATCAATTTTTAGTAAGACGAAACTAATTTAGTTTGGCAGAATATTAAAAAAAGGGAAAAAATTGTAAAATAAAAATAAATCGGAAGCTAAAATAAAAAAATGTAATATTAAAATATAAAGAATAAATAACAAGTAGGTAAAGACCGTTTTTAGTCAGACCAAGTTAATTTATCTCCTAAAAAATTTTAAAAATTACAGAAAATTAAAAATAAGAAAAAATATTAAACAAATAAAAATAATAATAAAATAATATGGAAATTAATGAATAAGTAGGTAAATCCATTTTTAGTCAGACGCAACTTACACATTTCTAAAAACAAAAAAACTTTTCGAAAAATTCAAAACAAGACAAAAAGTTTGTAGAGTAAAAATAAATTGGAATCTAAATTAAAAAATCTTAAACTAAAATGAGAAATTTAAAAATAGGTAGCAAATCCAATTTTTAGTCAGACGAAAGTAACTTATTTCCCAAAGAAATAAAAACTTTGCGGTAATTTAAAACCAAGAAATAAGATTTATAGAATAAATATAAATCGAAAAGCTAAAATAAAAAAATCTGAAACTAAAAGAAGAAAATAAAATAACTAGTAGTTTAACCCACTTTTTAGTCAGACGAACTTAATTTTTTTTCAAAAGCATAAAAACTTTACGGAAAATTAAAGACAGGACAAAAAATTTATAGAATAAAAATAAATCGGAAGATAAAACAAAACAAAATCTAAAATTAAAATAAGAACACTAAATAACAAGTAGTTAACCCCACTATTTAGTCAGACAAAACTAATTTATTTCTTAAAAACATAAAAAATTTACAGAAAATCTAAAACAGAACAAAAATATTTAAGAAATAAAAATAACATGAAATCTCATTTTTAAAAAATAAGAAATAAGTAGAGAAATGCAATTTTTAGTCAAAGAAAACTATTTTAGTTCCTAAAAACAAAAACATTGCTGAATATTAAAAAAAAATTGTAAAATAAAAATAAATCGGAAGCTAAAATAAAAAAATGTAATACTAAAGTATGAAGATAAAATAACAAGCAGGTAAAGACTCTTTTTAGTCAGACAAAGTTAATTTATCTCCTAAAAATTTTTAAAAATTACAGAAAATTAAAAATAAGAAAGAATATTTAACAAATAAAAATAAAATAAAAGAAAAAATATGGAAATTGATGAATAAGTAGGTAAATCGATTTTTAGTCAGACAAAAATTACATTTTTCCTAAAAAGAAAAAAAATTTGCAAAAAATTCAAAACAAGACAAAAAATTTGTAGAATAAAAATAAATTGTAAACTAAAATAAAAAATTTTAAACTAAAATAAGAAATTTAAACAATAAGTAGCTAAACTAACTTTTTAGTCAGTCGAAAGTAATTTAATTTCCAAAGAAATATAAATTTTGCGGTAATTTAAAACCAAGAAATAAGATTTATAGAATAAATATAAATCGGAAAGCTAAAATAAAAAAATTTGAAACTAAAAGAAAAAAATTAAATAACTAGTAGTTTAACCCACTTTTTAGTCAGACGAACTTAATTTTTTCCCAAAAATATAAAAACTTTGCGGAAAATTCAAAACAAGTCACAAAATTTATATAATAAACTTAATTGGAGAATTTAACAAAAAAAACTGAAATTAAAATAAGAAAATTAAATAACTAGTAGTTTAACCCACTTTTTAGTCAGACGAACTTAATTTTTTCCCAAAAACATAAAAACTTTGCGGAAAATTTAAAAGAAGTCACAAAATTTATATAATAAATTAAATTGGAGAATTAAAAAAAAAAATTGAAATTAAAATAAGAAAGCTAATATCAAGTAGTAAAAGCTACTTTTAGTCAGACAAACTTTGTTAATTTCTCGAAAACATAAAAACTTTACGGAAAAATAAAACCAAAACAAAAAATTTACAGAATAAAAACAAATCGGAAACTAAACTAAAAAATCTATATATAAAATAATTAAAAAACAAGTAGTTTAACCAACTATTTAGACGGTCGAAACTAATTTATTTCCTAAAAACAAAAACTTAGCCGAAAATTAAAAACAGGAGAAAACAAATTTTTAAAATAAAAATAATTCAGTAGCTCAAATTTAAAAATTTGAAACTAAAATAAGAAAACTAAATATCAAGTAGTTAAACCTAATTTTAGTCAGACAAAACCCAGAAACTAATTTGTTCCCTAAAAAACAATAAATGTGCGTCAAACAAAAAATTAAAAATTTAACTGTAAATTTTCCCAATTTCCAAAGATAAAACAGTATACAAAAATAGCAATATTAAAATTTTCAAGACAATTGAAAAAGTGAATTCTGATTTCAGTGAAAAGGAACGACAGCGATATATCGAGAGAGCCGGCGATCCAATTCAGCCAGTCGCAGCACGGCCGGCAAACAATGCAACTTTGTTGGCTCGATATTGCAAGGACAAGGTACCCAGGACCTGTGATCATGCAATTCTCCAAAATACAAGTCGTCCTTGTTCACTTGGCGAGAGCTTCGTTTCCTCCGGTAGCAGTCTCACTATTGAAATGCGCATGATCGAGTCAACAGCCCTCAGGCAAGTTTTCCAATGGAACTTTTACAGTATCACTTCCTCTTTAACTTTTCTGTATATATTTCACGTGTACCCTATATATATATATCTATATCTCTCTATATATAACCGTGGACGACAATTCGAAGGGAAAAAGATTCCTAACTAACTCGAAGCGTTCTTTCCAGGGTCTCTCTCTCTCTCTCTCTTTCTCTCTCTCTCTCTATTTTATCCTCCGGCTCGAGGGTTTTAGTTTCAATGCTTTTCCTCGTTCACTTGACTTTTTTATTTTCAACCCTCTCCCACTTCTTTGCTGCCAAAGTGAAATCCAGAAGTTCAACCGAGATAAAATTTAGGTCTCAAAATCGTTTCTGATCAAAGAACGACAAACCGATGAAATTTCACGAGTTTTTAAACGTCTCCCCTCCCCTCCCCTCTCCTTTTCCTTTTCTCACTATGTTAACTTACCAGATATTATGACGATGTCCTTTTTTTCACGATTTTTAAATACACTGTAAAAACGGTTCCTTTTTTCCACTTTTAAATTGATAACAAAATTTGGTATCAATTTTGTTACTTGTCCTCTAAATTTGAATTAGTAAGAAATAATTTCTTCAATTGTAAAATTATTCCACAACATTAATAACTTATTTTTTAAAAAATTATTCAATTATTATTATTATTTTTCCTTAGGAATTAAAAGTTTAAAAAAATTTTAACCTTTTTAAATTCAAATTATCGGTAAATTCACTTCGTTGTGTTTAGAGGGAAAATTATAATCGATTTCAACTGGGTAGTATTGTATACACACTCGCAATAAGTTATGGACCATGTCCTGCACACGCAACACCCGAAAAGTTAAATCCATAAACAAAATCGAGTCGCATGTGGCATTGAAAGCTCTATTTCTTTACTTTAATCGATAGTTGCAGAAAAAGCCATTTTTTCTATTTATATTGCGAACTTTAGTGAATTAACTTTCGTTTATTTCTCTATTATCAAATTGAAACAAGTTTATTGCAATATAATTAATATTTATATAAATAATATTTTATAGTCAATATTTATAGTCAATAATAGACAATAATAAATGATAATAAGCGTAAAATAGTCTAAATAGTAATAACAATTTTTAAATCGAATTTTTTTAAAAAAGAATAATTATTTGAGACATAAGTAGTAATGTCAGTAAATAGTCAGACATAATAAAAAATTTTTAACCAGATTTTTTAAAAGAAAAATTATTTGAGACCTAAGTGGAAATGTCAGTAAATATAGTCAGACATAATAACAATTTTTAAACCAGATTTTTTAAAAGAAAAATTATTTGAGACCTAAGTAGAAATGTCAGTAAATAGTCAGACATAATAACCAGAAACAAAAGAAAATAATGCAAACTTTGGTTATTATTTAGATGGCATTCTTCTTAATTAGTAAAGCAAATAATTTCTTTTCACAACTTACGAATTTGGTATCTTTTTTGTTACTAAAAATATCTTTTCAATATTTTCTTCTTTATTGCAGGAATCGTAATATTGATACTCATTAATGTACTAAATTCAAATTTGGTAGAAATAGTTTTTATAAAATAAAAAAAACTCACCCATTCGTATAATTTATAATTGCCAAATATAAAGAAGACTCACCTGAAACAAAAAGAAATAAAACATTAAAATAATTGTCAAACACAATAATAGTAGTATAAGATTAAAAAAGAAGCAATAAAAGTAGTAATACTAAAAATTATTTTCTCCATAAAGAGTAATAAAGTAGTAAAATTCAATTATAGTCAGACAACGATTTTGAATAAATTGTCAGTTCAAGCAATTTAACAAAAATTATAATTACACTTGGAAACACAAAGGTAGGAGTGAAAATTGTCAGATAAGTAGTAAAAGTCAAGATCTCAGAGACATTGAGAAATTAAACTGATTCAAGTGAAACTTCAGCAAAACTTTAGTAAAACAGGCAATTAAGTAGTAAAAGCCCTTATTAGTCAGACGTACATTTCGGAAAATTAAACTAATTTTACAAAATTATTAACTAATACAGTGACAAAATGGCTTAAGAAAGTTTGCTTAAGAGAGTAAATATCATCAGAAGTTGAAACTAAAGTTTTTAAAATTAAAAAAGTATTTACAAAAACGGGTAGTAAAATCGAACAATAGTCAAACAAGTCTAAAAGCAGATAGTTTTTTAAAGATTTTTAAAAATTTTAAAGTTTTTTCTTCTTTTTATTTTTATTAAAGATGCAAGTATAGTAAAAGACAGGTATTAGTCAGACAATCACAATAAGCGGTGTGACACGAAACAAAGATACAAAACAAATTTGTAGGAAAAATAAATAACAAAACCAAAAATTGACCAGAAATTTCGACAAGCAAGTCGAAATATTTGAAAATTAAACGGGATGAATAACAGTATTTGAGACCTAAGTAGTAATGGCAGTGAACCTAAATTCGGTCATATTTACTAGAAACAAAAAAGAAAAAATATGTACAAGTAGTACAAGTCAGTTATCAGTCAGACAAACAAGTAGAAAGAGAAGAAGAGAAAGAAACAAAACAAAATTATTAAAATCGCATAGTTTCACAACAAAATTATATTACAGATAAGAAGTAAAATCGCCAATTAGTCAGACAATTTAAACATTACGAGCTCCATAAAGAGAAATAAGTAGTAAAAATTAATTCAAGTCAGACAAAGAAGATCTAAATTGTCAAATAAAAAAAAATTATAATTTTTAAACGAAAAAAATTCGTTTTCGTTTTATTTGCCTTAATTTATTATAATTATAATTTTTTTATTAATTTATAAAGGATCTTGGACGTTAAAGGTTAAAGATTATTTAACTAAATAAAATTATAATGAATGAAAAAAAAATAAATGGTAGAGAATAAATGGTTCAGGTGTAAATTATCAGAAAAGTAGTAAAATCAATAATTATTCAGACATTTTGGAAAATGAAACTAATTCAACAAAATCATTAACTGTTAAAAATTTAGAAAGTTAAAATTTTACGTTTCGACATTAACTCCATTATTAAATGTAACTGCGAAATAACTCCCAAGGGAAATAATGCTGAACCCTTTTCCTTTCCCTCTAAAATTCATACTAAAAAATTGAGGAAGTAAATTGCATCAAGAGTTTGGATTAATGTTTCCTGAGTTAAAAATCTATTTAAAAAATTAAACAAGAGTGAAATAGGAGTCAAAGAAATAGAAATTAACATTACTTTTCCAAATTCATTTCATTTTCCCGAATTAATAATTTATTTTACCAAAGTTAATAAAAATAAAAAAAAAAGTTGTAAAATCGGTAGTTTAATCAGACAAGTATCAATTTTTATATTAAAAACCACTAGCGAATTGCATTCTTCATCAAACAGAAAGTGAAACCCTTTAGACAAATTGCAAATTTTTTCTTTTTTTTGTTACAGACCCGTTAATTTTCGAGCTCTTTATGAATTTGTGGATCTTCATCAGGACGGAGATTCCTATGGCAGTGGACCATGCTCTCGTGTTTTTTACAGTAGAAACCGTGACCGTTATCCTGATCACAGATTTCAAAGCCCACGAAATATATTCCTCTACGGTCGTGGTGGATCCAAAAATATGAGGTAAAACTATTTTTATAATCTATCAAATTTCTAACTCTTAAAAAAAAAATTTAAAAAAAAGGATTTTAAGAAAGCTTTAAAAAAAGTTTTAATAAAAGTTTAAAAAAATGAAAATAAAGTTTTAGAGAGAAATAAAAATTTGCTTCTTCAGCAAAAATTAAAAAGCTTCTTAATTTTTTTTTTATAAAAAAAGAAATAAAACAAAAAAATTGATAAAAATTTCTTAAATTAAATTGAAAACCAATTAGAAACATAAAAATTAATCTCATAATTTTAAGTCGGGCAAAAGTTTTTCTCATTAAAACTCTTCCTGTAATTCTAAAAGGAGAACTTTTCAAAAGAATAATTTGCTTTCACTGTACATATATATATATTATTAATCCAGTTAAATTTAAGCTACTTGTAACTTTACAGTAAATAAGAAACTCACGTAAATACAGAATATACAGATAATTAAATCAGAAATTCCCAGAAGTGAATATTTCAAAAGTCAATTAAACAAGTGTTTACAATAATTAAACTTGTCTATAATTTAAAAGAACTCTCATCGTTTTATGTTACAAAACAATCAAAAAAGAAATTTTGTTTCTCAATTACAAATAATTGAACGTCTCTCGCCTATTTCAATTTTTAATTTTTTTTAGAAAGAAATTAATTTTTCCTATATTCGAAAAAAAGAGGAAAAAAACATAATCTCTAAATCTGTCCAACCTTTGCATTAACATTTCTTCTGAAAATGCTCTCTCTCAATCTTTTTATGACTTGACAGTCAGTTTAGGATGAACCTTCATAAAGTAACAGCTCGCTGACAATTCCCGGTTTTTTACGAGACTCGTAAAATTATTTTACGACACAGGACAAATATTATCGAAACTCTGACGCAAAAATTTGACAATTTTCTTTTCAACTATTACGAAATAAGTATTTCGAAAAATTAATAATTAATCTAACACTAGAATCGAACAGTAAAAATCATTCTTGGTTCATCCCAAGAAGAGAGAATACTTCAGAAATCAAACATAATATGTTAATTTAATATCTTCTGTTATTCTAAAAAATAAATTAAAAAATTTGATAAAATTAAAAAATTTATCTAATTTTTATTAGATATTTTCAAAAAAATCTAATTTTTCCAATCTATAGTTTTTTTTTGCATGATTTAGAAAGAATATTTTTGCAAACTAAACGCGAAATATTTGAAAGTTTTAATTAAATTCCACATCAAATACTCCTTTATATACAAAAGGATACCAATTAATTTGTGTAACAAGATTGCAATTAATTTCTCTTTGTGTCTAATAAATTACTTTGCAGTTGTATATATCGTTTCGAGGGTGAACCAGACGAAGTGGTCAGGCTACGATTTAACAAACTATTTAATGGAAATCGTTCCTGTCGAAGTGTTTCCAGTTCAGATTACGATCGCTTACTTTGCATTGGATCCGATCGGTTTTCCCTCAAGGTGAGCAATTTCAATTATTTCATTACTCCTGTGTGCATATCATTAAAAAGAAACTAAATTTCATTTAAAAAACGGAAATATATCAAATAGGCAAAAAAAACTTTTTTTAATGAGAGAAAAAAAATAATTCTGTCGAAATTATATAAATAAGGAAACAAAAAATAAGTGGTTAAACCGATTTTTAGTTAGGCTAAATCACGAAACGAATTTATTATCTCTAGGAGATTACTAAATCTACGAAAAATTAGAAAAAAATACAAAAAAATTGATGAAATGAAAATAAAACGAAAATTTAGTTGAGAAAATAAGTAATAAGTAGTATAAGACTGTTTTAGTCAGACGAAACTTATTTTTCTGCTAAAAAAATAAAACATCTCCGGAATATTTAAAAAGAAAACAAAACTAACGAAAAATTAAATGATACGAAAACCAAAATATGACACTTTGAAAAATTAGAAGTTCAACTTAATTCCGGAACTAATTTGTTTTCTAAAAAAAATTAAAAACCAATCAAAAATTAAATAAGGGACAAAAAATTTGATAAATTGAAAATAAAACCAAATCTAAAATATAAAAATTAAAAAATAAGAAGTTCAACTTAATTTTCAATCAGAAGAAACTAATTTCTTTCTTAAAAAAACAAATAATTTATAGAATAAAAATAAAAACGAAAACTTAAGTAAAGGAAATAAGAAATAAGTAGCTGCAGACATTTTTAGTCAGACGAAACTAATTCATTTTCTAAAAACATAAAAACTTTTCGAAAAAGTGAAAATAAGACCAAAAATTTATAGAAGAAAAATAATTCTGAAAATCAAATTGAAAAATCTGAAACTACTATAATAAAATTAAAAATTAAGTAGTTAATCCCACTTTTCAGTCAGACAAACTTAATTTTTTTAAAACTTTCTGGAAAATCAAGAAAAAGGTCAAGAAATTTACAGAATAAAAAGAATCGTAAGATAAAATGAAAAAATCTCAAACTAAAACAAGGAGATTAAATAACAAGTAGTTACATCCACTATTTAGTCAGACGAAACTAATTTATTGCCTAAAAACATAAAAAAATTTACAGAAAACCAAAAACAGGACAAAAAATATTTAAGAAATAAAAATAACATGAAATTTCATTATTGGAAAATATGAAATAAGAAGAAATCAATTTTTAGTCAGACGAAACTAATTTAGTTTTGCAGAATATTAAAAAAAGACAAAAAATTGTAAAATAAAAATAAATCGGAAGCAAAAAATAAAAAAATGTTATACTAAAATATAAATAATAAATAACAAGTAAGTAAAGACCCTTTTTGGTCAGACAAAGTTAATTTATCTTCTAAAAAAATGTTAAAAATTACAGAAAACTAAAAATAAGATAAACTATTAAAGAAATAAAAATAAAATGTAAACAAAAATATGGAGATTAATGAATAAGTAGGTAAATCCATTCTAAGTCAGACGAAACTGAGGCTTTTTCTAAAAACAAAAAATCTTTGCGAAAAATTCAAAACAAGACAAAAAATTTATAGAACAAAAATAAATTGGAAACTAAAATAAAAAATCTTAAACTAAAATGAGAAATTTAAAAATAGGTAGCAAACCCAATTTTTAGTCAGACGAAAATAACTTATTTCCCAAAGAAATAAAAACTTTGCGGTAAATTGAAACTGAAAAAAAAAATTTACAGAATAAATATATAAATCTAAAGCTAAAATAAAAAAATCTGTAAGTAAAATAATAAAATTAAATAACAGGTAGTTTAACCCACTTTTTAGTCAGACCAACTTAATTTTCTCGCAAAAGCATAAAAACTTGGGAGAAAATTGAAGACAGGAGAAAAAATTCATAGAATAAAAATAAATGGGAAGATAAAACAATACAAAATCTAAAACTAAAATAAGAAAACTAATTATCAAGTAGTTAACCCCACTATTTAGTCAGACGAAACTAATTTACTTCCTAAAAACATAAAAAATTTACAGAAAATCAAAAACAGGACAAAAAATATTTAAGAAATAAAAATAATATGAAATCTCTTTTAAAAAAAATAAAAAATAAGTAGTGAAACCAATTTTTAGTCAGACGAAACTAATTTTGTTTCTAAAAACAAAAACATTGCAGAATATTAAAAAAAAAATTGTAAAATAAAAATAAATCGGAAGCTACACAGTAAAAAGAAAATCTTATTTTAAGGCACGAAAGCTGCCTTAAATTAAGATGCAACATTTTTAAGACAGTCAATGTTGAATTTACGCACGTTTTTCGTATCCTTTAACATTATAGCAGACAGTGTTGAATTTAAGGCAGCTCTTAAATTAAGATTTACTTTTTACTGTGTAAAATAAAAGACTGTAATACTAAAATATGAAGAAAATATAATAAGTAGGTAAAGACTTTTTTTAGTCAGACCAAGTATATTTATCTCCTTAGAAATTTTAAAAATTACAGAAAATTAAAAATAAGAAAGAATATTAAACAAATAATGATAATAAACAAAAATATAAAAAATTAATGGATAAGTAGGTAAATCCATTTTAAGTCAGACAAAAGTTACACTTTTTCTAAAAACTAAAAATTTGTAGAATAAAAATAAATTGAAAACTAAAATAAAAAATTTTAAACTAGAATGAGAAATTTAAAAAATAAGTAGCTAAACCAACTTGTTAGTCAGTCGAAATTAATTTATTTTCCAAAGAAATATAAACTTTGCGGTAAATTAAAACCAAGAAATAAGATTTATAGAATAAATATAAATCGGAAAGCTAAAATAAAAAAATCTGAAACTAAAATAAGAAATTTAAATAACAAGTAGTTTAACCCACTTTTTAGTCAGACGAACTTAATTTTTTCCCAAAAGCATAAAAACTTTGCGGTAAATTCAAAGCAAAACACAAAATTTATAGAAGAAAAATAAATCAGAGGATAAAACAAAAAAATTTTAAACTAAAATAAGAAAACTAAATAACAAGTAGTTAAACCCACTCTTTAAACAGACAAACTTAGTTTATTTCCCAAAAACATAAAAACTTTTGCGGAAAATTAAAACCTAGAAAAAAGATTAACAGAATAAAAATAAATTTGAAGCTGAAATAAAAAATCTAAAACTAAAATACAAAAAATTAAATAACAAGAAGTTTAACAAACTTTTTATTTAGACGAAACTAATTTATTTCCTAAAGACAAAAACTTAGCCGAGAATTTACAGAAAATCAAAAAAGGGACAGAAAATATCGAAAGAATAAAATTACCATGAAATTTAAAAAAAAAATAGGTAAATAAGTAGTGAAACCATTTTTTTGTCAGACGGAACTAAATTTATCGAAAGAAAAATAATAATAAAATAGAACATAGTATAAAAATTCTTTCCTTTTCAATGATAAAAATAATAATATAATAATAATTTACAGAAATTATTGTGTATTATTGATACACAATAGTGGAAAGTGAATTGAATGAATTGCGATTGGTGTTGAATTGAAACACGATATATATATATTGAATATAGAATGTAGAAAAGCATGCCTGTTGTTAATTGTTTTGTGAGACGTGATGAAACAAATGAGAAAGCTTCATTTCCATTTTCCATACGACAAGCACCAACCGCTCAATATTTGTCACTTTGACAATGAAAGCGTTTGACTTTGCAGGCAGTTGTGTCGCATTAATTAACCGTAATATCCCCCGTAATTATCTCTCCTCTACTCCTCCTCTTCTGGCAATATCACCCAAAAATAATAACGAATTCGCTTCATTTTTATTTCATTAAACCCACTTTCACGATAATTCATTTTAAATCTCTCACACTATCTACTCTACACAAATATTTAAATTTCTCCTCTCATTTATTACATTTCAGTAAAATATATATTTTCTGTCAGAAAAAAAAATTTTCCTAACGGAAAATATTATTTCATATTTTATCCGATATAAATATATTCTTTTAGAGAAAAAAATTTTTATTTAATATTTTACTAAATAAAAAATTATTTTACAGAAAAATATTATTTCATATTTTATTCAAAAGAATTTTTTTTTAGAAAAAACTATTTTTATTTAAAATTCATTAAATTATTAAATAACAATTTTTTTAAAGAAAAATATTTTTATTCAATTTTTTCTAAAATTAAAAATTATTTTCGAGAATTTTTTTTATTTCCCTTTATAACAACAGTACTAAAAATAGAAAATAAATACAAAAATAATTAAACAATACTGAAAATGTTTTTTTCTATTCAAAGTAAAATTTTTATTTTAAAAATTTATTTTCGAATTCATTTTTTCACTATTCTGCTTTTAGAGAAATATTTTATGTTTCCTTTCATGACGAGTGAATTTTAAAAATCGAAAACCTTTCAAAAAGAAAACAAGAAAGGCCAAAATGAAAAATTGGAAAACGAAAGAAAACTCTGCATCCCTCAGGTGCTTGACAACAATCCGGCGAGAGTACATCTGCGAAACGATGCATTATTGCACAATACTTGAATTCTGTATGTCATTCACATTTTTCATCATTTCTTTCCTATATATCTTACTTCATAAATTTTCTTCTATCACAAAATTATTATTCTCTCTCTCTCTCTCTTTTTTCCCTTCTAAAAAATATTTCCATTTCTTATATTGAATATTTTTCCAAAGAAAATTGGAAAAAAAATACTATCAGAAATGTCAGCAAGAAAAAAAAGAAGAAGAAAATGGAATAATAAGATAATGGAAGAAAAAAGAATTATTGAAAATAAAAATTGAAGATGGAAAAAAATCGAAGACAGAAATTCCCATCATTAAGAATGTAAAATATTACAAGACTTTCGATAAGATTCTGAAAATTCTTCAAGTTTTCATATTGCCTGAGGACTTGTTCCATTAGGAATTTTTCACATTTTATCACCTTTTTCTTTTTTTTCTTTCTTTTTCTTTTTTTCGTTAACAGTAGTTTTCAGTAATTCGAAATTCACAGGAAACGCTCGCGGAAATCTCTTCGAACTTCCAACAAATTTTCCGACATTTTCTATTTTGTCGTGAATTTTACTCTAGAATTTTCTAATTGCAAAAAATAGTTTTTATTAAGAATTTATGTGAAAATTTCTCGTTATCATTTTTATTATCTGAAGTATAAAATTTAAAAACGTTATTCTAAATAATAAAATTATTTACTTTTTTACGATTAGCTAGGATTTTGATACTTTCTTTTTAGATTTGTGACACTAAGAGCTAATTTTTTCATATTATTCAGAATTTACACTACTTTAAATCCACTAATAGTTGAAATAAGAAAAAATTCTTGGCAAAAATTTTAATAAAATTCCTCTCAGAAACAATTGAAAAAAAATTTAATAAAATTCGTCTTAAAAACAATGATAAAAATTTTAATCCAAATTCCTTTTAGAAAAATTCAAAAGAATTTAATAAAATTCCTCTTACAAACAATGCTAAAATTTGTAATAAAATTCTTTGAAACAATTCACTTACTTTCAAAAATCTAAATAAATTTTTTGGAAAAATTCAATTAGTTTTACAAATAATGAAATTCTTCGCTAAACTTCAATTATTTTCAATATATCTAATATTTTAATGAAATTACTTAAAAGAATTGTTTCTAAGAATTAAATTAAGATTTATAAGAATTAAATTATTTTTATAAATAATAAAATTCATGCCAAGAATTCAATTATTTTAAAAAATTCAATTATTATTAAATATTTCAATGAAATTCTTCGCAAGAATTCAATTATTTATACAAACAATAAAATTTAATTTTAAAAATTAAAAACAATAAAATTTTTAACAGGACTTTAATTATTTTTGTAACAAAATTTCTCGAAGGAATTCAATTATTTTCTAAAATTTTAATAAAATTCTTCGCATGAATTCAATTATTTCTACAAACAATAAAATTTAATTTTAAAAATTGAAAACAATATAATTTTTAACAGGAATTTAATGATTTTTTTAACAAAATTTTTCGTAGAAATTAAATTATTTTCTACAATTTTAAAAAAATTCTTCGCAAGAATTCAATTATTTCTACACACAATAAAATTTTTGAAAGGAATTCAATTATTTTTTTAACAAAATTTTTCGAAGGAATTCAATTATTTTAAATACAATTTTAATTAAATTTTTTTGAAATAATTCTATTATTCGTTTAGATTTTAATAAAATTCTAGCCAAGAAATCAATTATTTACATAATAATTTTTCGAGAGATTTCAATTGTGTCGATAAATAATTATTTTGAGGCCTTTTAATAAAATTCTCTGCAAAATTTAATTTTTTTCGTAAATAAAAATATTTATTACAGGAATTCAATTATTTCAACAAATAATAAAATTTTTGCCAAAAATTCAATTATTTGTAACAAAATTTCACGAATGAATTCAATTATTTACAAAAATTTTAATAAAATTCTTCGGAAGAATTCAATTATTTCTACAAATAATTATGTTTTTGACAGGCATTCAATTATTTTTAACAAAATTTCTTAGAGGAATTCAATAATTTTCTAAAATCTAAATAAAATTCTTTGAAACAATTCAATTATTTTTATAAATAGTAAAATTTGTCGCAAGAATTCAATTATTTTTAATACAATTTCAATTGTATATCTCGAAAAATGTAATTATTTAAAAAATTTTTTTTTACTATTCTTCGAAAGAAATCAATTATTTTCTAAAGCTTTGATGAAATTCGTTGTAAATATTCAATTTTAAAAAATAATCAATCATTCTATCAATTATTTATTTTTATATATATGTATTTAAATAATTGAATTCTTCTAGAGTTCTCTACTAAGAATTGATTTACAAATGAATTTTAGTTAAAATTTTACTTAATAATTAAATTTAAAAAAATTTAATTTTTGTAAATCTTAATTTGTTATAAAACTGCAAGAATATTTAAACATTTATTTACAAAATTATTAATTTATTATTTTTATAAATTTTCAAGTTGAAGAATTTCTAAATATTGAAGTTTTGAATAATTTTATTTGAAAATTCAAAGAAATTAAAATTATTTAAAATTAAATAAGTATTTCAATATTTTTTTAAACAAAATTCAAAGCAATATTAAATTTTTTCATAATTTAATTTAAAAATTATGAAAAAAAAGAATTAGTCATTTGTTCTCAATTTTTTGTATGAATTTCTTTTTTTTTAGTATTAATTTTGATAATGTCGAGAAAACTGTGATATTAAAGTTATAAATGAATGTGAAAAAGAAATTCTGAGGAATTAACGAATTATGCTAAAATTTCGTTATAAATTAACGTTAAATAAAAATTGAATTGAAAATACAAAAGTTAATTAAAAATCATTGATTTCTGTGATGAAGTTCATGGAGGTGCCTTTCGCAAATGCACCGCCAGTTCAACGAGACTGTTTCTGCTCAAATCGATCACTGCCAATGAACATAAAATCGACTTCGCACATTGTCGAAGTTCATTTTACGATCCTTTCCATGGATGCTCTTGACGACTACAATAATCTCTACTTCGAGGGCGTGTGGGACTTTGAAAAAAGTGCAACCTGCCTGCAGAAACGCAAAGTGAAGGGCCCCTCGGGTGAAATCAAATATCAACCACCATTAGATGAGGACGAGGTGAGAACGAAACATTTGTCACTGTTTTTTTTTTTAATATATAAATCACATTCGAAAAAAGTTACGAATTTTTTATTCAAAATATCAATTTTTTAAAAAGTATAAGTTTCTAAAGAGAAAAAAAATATTCTTTTTAAAAAAATGTACAGTAATTTTCTTCTTTGAAATAGGCAAAAAAAATACGTCAGTTAAGTAAAAAAATTTTATGCTCAACAATTAAAAAAGAAAAAAAATTTCTTAATGAAAACAATAAAATATTTTGTCAAAATTATTTGAACAATAAAATATTTTGTTTACAAATTTTTCTTTTTCAAATTAATGATCAAAAAAGTATACAAAACATTTTTTTTCTACAAAAATATATAAAAATTAAAATAAAAAAATATTATTTTTTCTAAAATGGTTGATTATAAAAATAAATATTTTTTATCAAAAAAAGTAATAAAAAAAGAGAAGAGATGACAGTCTACCTTTTATGAACCACAACAAACAATAGCAAAACCCTATAAATCAATTATTGTCATTCATTACATTATTGTTCGTCTACTAATGATGTAATTAATTATCATCGTCATTTGTTTACAGAGAAATTGTGAAAATCATCCGTGGATGATTGATCCGGGGCCTGAGCAATACCTTTATGTCAAGGCTCATGGAATAATTATGACAAACATAACCAAGTGCGCCACAAATAATCGAATTGTGGTGCATACCGGTGGTAATTTACACGTATCGGTTTGTCCGAAACCGTTAATTGATTCAAAATATCATGTGGTAGAAGTATTCAGCGATGGCTGGGCAGTTAGTAATAATGCCGTTGTTCTTGCGCCAGATCAAAATTTAATTAAACACATTGCTGTTGAATTTATCATTAAGGAGCCGGACACCTATACAGTCACTTGGCTCGAACTCACCCGGAGGTCAGTATATTCAAAATATTTAAAAATATAATAAAAAAATTATTTAACTACACGTTATACATATAATTAAAAATTATTTTTAAAACAAAAAATTTTCAAAATAAAAAAAATGTTTTTAAATCTAATGTTTGTTTACAAAAACATTTTTTTTTTACTTTAGAACTATAGAAAATTTTCGTCATTAAATAATGACGAAATAGTGGAAAAACTACTGAAATATATAAAATGAAAATTTTATATTTAAGTAGTAAAATATTATTTTCGTCAGAAAGTAAAAAAGATTTGAATAAATAAACGAAAATACAAAATTCACAATAAAAATGAAAAATTGAAAAATAAAATTAAAAAAAACTTCTTCACGATTAAGCAATAAATAATTGTACTTAATTTTATTGGTATTAAAATTCTATGCGGAAAAAATTTAAATAAAATTTCTCGAAACAATTAAATTATTTTTACAAATTAAAATAAAATTTTTGACAGGGATTCAATTATTTTTAACAACATTTCGCTAATAAATAAAATTATTTTTAAAAATTTGTGATAAAATTTTTCAAAAGAGTTCAATTATTTTCTAAAATTTCCATAAAATTCTTCGAAACAATTCAATTTTTTTATAAATCCCAACCTTTTTTGAAAGAATTGAATTATTTTCATAAATAATAAAATTCTTCTCAAAAATTCAATTTTTTTAAACACAATTTTAATAAAATTTGTAAAAGGAATTTAATTATTTTTTGGAAATTGTAATAAATTTTTTTTAAAGAATTCAATTATTCTTAAAAGTTTTGATAAAATGTTTTATAATAGTTTAATTATTTTCATAAATAATAAATTTCTTCGCATTAATTCAATTATATTTTCAGAAAAATTTTGATAAAATTTCTTAAAAGAATCCAGTTATTTTGAAAACAGGTAATAAAATTCTAGGAAGAATTCAATTATTTCCAAAAAATTTAAATCAAATTTTTAATAACAATTATTGACATACACGATAGAATTTTAAACTGTTGAAAGATATTCTTTGTAAAATTCAAATTATTTTTAAAATTTTCAAAGAATTTATTCATAAGAATTCAATTATTTTCAAAAATTATAATAAAATTCTTCGCAAGAATACAATTATTTTCAAAATAAGATTCTTGGCGAGAATTCATTAGGTATTTTTAAAACTTTTAAGAAAATTCTTCAAAGCAATTCAATTATTTATTCGAATTTTTTAATAAAATTCTTAGCAAGAATTCAATTATTTTTTTTAATAAAATTCTTCGCAGGAATTCAGTTATTTTCATAAATAATGAAATTCTTTGAGAGAATTCAATTACTTTCAATAAAATTTTAACAATAAAATTTCTCGAAAAAAATTCAATTATTTTTAAAAGTTTAAAAATAATTCCTTGAAAGAATTCAATTATTTTTTTTAATTCAATTCTTCTCAAGACTTCAGTTATTTTCATGAATAATAAAATTCTTGAAGAGAATTCAATTACTTTCAATACAATTTTAATAATAAAATTTTTCGAAGAGATTCAATTATTTATAAAAGTTTTAAAAAAATTCTTCATAAGAATTAAATTATTTTTAAATTTTTTAATAAAATTCTTCACAAGAATTCATTAATAAACAATAAAACTCCTAGATAGAAGTGAATTATTTTCAATACAATTCTAACAAAATTTCTCGAAACGATTCAGTTATTTTTTGTTAAAAATTCTACAAAGGAATTGAATTATTTTCAAACTTTTTAATATTATTCTTCGCAAGAATTCAATTATTTCCATAAACAATAAAATTCTTTAAAAAAATTCAATTATTTTTAACACAATTTTAACAAAATATCTTAAAACGATTCAATTTTTTTTTAAAGTTTAAAAAAAAATTCCTTGAGAGAATTCAATTTCTTTTTTTTAATAAAATTCTTCTCAAGACTTCAGTTATTTTCATAAATAATAAAATTCTTTGAGATAATTCAATTACTTTCAATATAATTTTAATAATAAAATTTCTCGAAAAAATTCGATTATTTTTAAAAGTTTTAAAAAAATTCTTCATAGAAATTCAGTTATTGTTTAATTTTTTAATAAAATTCTTCACAAGAATGCATTAATAAACATAAAAATTCTTACATAGAAGTCAATTATTTTCAATACAATTCTAACGAAATTTCTCGAAACGATTCAATTTTTTTTAAAACTTTAAAAAAAAAATTCCTTGAGAGAATTCAATTATTTTTTTTAATAAAATTCTTCGCTAGAATTCAGTTATTTTTATAAATAATAGAATTCTTTGAGATAATTCAATTACGTTCAATAAAATTTTAATAATAAAATTTCTCGAAAAAATTCAATTATTTTTAAAAGTTTTAAAAAAATTCTTCATAGAAATTCAATTATTTTAAAATTTTTTAATAAAATTCTTCACAAGAATTCATTAATAAACAAAAAAATTCTTAGAGAGAAGTCAATTCATTTCAATACAATTCTAACAAAAATTGTCGAAACGATTCAATTATTTTTTTTTTAAATTCTACAAAGGAATTCAATTATTTTCAAATTTTTTAATAAAATTCTTCTCAAGAATTCAGTTATTTTCATAAATAATAAAATTCTCTGAGAGAATTCAATTATTTTCATAAATAATAAAATTATTTGAAAGAATTCATTTATTTTCAATGCAATTTTAAAAATAAAATTTCTAGAAAGAATTGAATTATTTTTAAAAGTTTTTACAACATTTTTCAAAGAAATCCAATCACTTTGAAATTTTTTAATGAAATTCTTTGCAATGATTTAATTATTGTCAAAAATAATAAAATTATTTAGTCTCACAATAATTTTTTTTTGCATTTTATTAATTATAAACAATTTTTTGTGAGAGATAAAATAAATTTCTCAACTTGAGAACGCCAAGGTCACCACTAGGTGGCGAGGAGTCGGTTTTTATCAACTGAACTGCCATCTGTCGGTGACTGTGGCGTTCGCATGTGGAGAGTAGCGTCTCCATATTGAATCCAAGAACTAATTTAATATTAAATACTTAATAATAAAAGTTTAATAAAAATTTAATATTAAATTAAAAGAAATTTATTTTATGTTTAATTTAATTAATGTAATAAGTGTAGTGACCTATTTATAAAAATAGTAGCTAAATAGTTGTATTGAAAATAGAGTAAAAAAGTATCAATAGTCGCGTGATTCCGAGGCCTACTTCAATATTAAATTATTAAATATTTAATAATAAATGTTTAAATTAAAAAATAAAAACTACTAATTTTTTTTTGTTGTTCTTTTGTCCTGACAGACCGTCGAGATCGTCTCCAATGACTGGTCTACACCTGCGACTGGATTGCGAGCAACGCTGTCCAGAATTGGACGCGTGCATAAATGCATCCCTATGGTGTGATGGTGTAACGCACTGCCCATCGGGCTACGATGAAGCACTGACACATTGTTCGATTCTCTTTCGATTGCCACCACTTCATCTTGGATTGGGCGCACTCGCTGTTGTGTCCATTGTTGGCGTTTTATGTTTCGTCTTTTGGCGAATATGCCGACAGCAAACGAGTCGCTCAATATCACAGCATCGACTCAAAAGTATTTCATCCGAAACGGCAATTATCGACGGTAAAGAAGTGATTTGCTGACAAAACGACAGTTCTGTGCGATACGTTGAAATTGATCGTGTCACCACTGTGTGACGATCGCCATCATCATGTCTTCAATTTTCAGGTCTTCATTTTTTTCCCGTCATCATTCAATAATGAAAATAATAATAATCATTGGCTCTTTGATTTTTTCACTCGAATTTTAGTATTTGATGCAAATATCTAAATAAAAATTACTTGATGCAAAAAAATATTTATTTGATAACAGTAATCGTTTATATAAATCAAATAAATATATATTTAATTTTTTATAATTAATAAATTTATTTAAAATTGAATTAAATAAAATTTCTTTTCCGTTTTCAATTTTCGCCAATGACTGATGACGTGAAAAATATTATGAACTTGAAAATCATCCACGTAACGCACAGAACTGGATTTTTAGAAATTTTCGCAGCACCGCTGCCTGGAAATTTGTAACGACTATTTAAAAGAATTTTTTCTAAATTCATAAATTAACATATTTCCTTTATTAAAAAAAAGAGAAACAAAATTTATTAAATTCTGCAAAAAATTCCTATAAAAATCGTTACAAATTTCATTTTACTATAAAATATAATGTTATAGAAATTAATAATGCTAATGAAATCTAAGTTCCATTTTATAATATAATTATCGAATGCGCGCTCTGGTCTTTAAAAATAGATTAAATTCAAGAAAAATAAAAAAAAAATCTACGTTACTTCGTCCGGTCATATCGTTGCGCTTAAAAAAAAAAACTTGACGATAAAGGGATGCTTATTCACGTAGGTTTAAAAAAAATAAATGAATCTTTGCAGTTCTTCCTAATTTCTTTACATGACAATCATTCATTATTTTCGCTACACAAAAAGTTCGATCTACTTTTGAAAAATTTCTTCCAAAAAAAAAATTATTTCTTCCTTTTTATATATAAATCAAACAGAATTAAAATTCTTTCCAATTCACATCTATAATTGCAATTTTAAAAAAAGAAATTTTTCAACGGAAAAAAAATGTATTCAAAAAAATATTTTTTTTTCCTTTTGCAAAAAATATTTTATTTTCGGTTTAAAAAAATATATTTTTCTCTACTTTTGATTTTCCAGTAATGTGCAAATTTTATTTTCAACTGCTACGCAAAAATACAACACGACGGCAATGAAATAAAATTTGCAATATTTTTATGTCTGTCAATTTATTCCAAACGCACTTTCTTGAAGACAATAAATCCCAATCGAAACATTGCGCTTTCGTCCCGCTTTTCGACAATAAAAAAGAATAACTTCCCCTTTATCGCAAAGTTCAAATAACTCGCTTTCGCTGAGCTGATAAACTGATTGTGTTTCACGTATAAATCATCCGCAACTTCGTACTTGTTAGTTTCTTGTGAAAAAAATAGAATCGAACATTCAATTTCAATTAAAAATTGCGTATCACGGAAAAATTCAATAAACTAAATTTTTATTTGACCAAAAAAATAAAAAAAAAAAAACTCAGAAAAAAATTTGTTTGAAGCAATTTTGGTTGAAAACAAACAAATGCATTTTTATCAAATATTTTTTCGGTTCGACTAAAAATTTTCTTGAAATTTCTAAATTCTTTTTTTAAACGCTTTATTAAACTGAACCAAATTATTTAAACCAAATAAATATTTATTTAGTTTAAACAAACTTTTTTAGAAAATTCCAAAAATAAGATTTATCCAACAAAATAATTGTTTTTATTTTTATTACAGTGAAACCTGTCGAAATGCAACTCGATTTTTCAAATTTTATTACAGTAAAAAATCCTTAAAAAATTGTTTAATAATTTAATTTTCTAATATTTTTCAATATTTCGAAAGTAAATTAAAATAATTCTTGTTGGACAATTATGAATACAAGGACCCTAAAGTTCCGAACGTTCATTTGAACGAAATTTTTTTTTTTAAATATAAGGAACTTTTTTCAATAATCTTATTCAGAATAGTAAATAAAACAAACATCAATCAAAAAATTACAAAAATTTTAATATTCGGGGTGCAAAACAACCCCTATGTAAATACCACATATAGGTAATAATAAGAATTATCCAAATCAAGAGAACTTGTTCAGATATTGGAAAACTAAAAACGCAGAAAATTTTCTAAAATTATAAGCAACTAATCCCACCATGCTAGAACCGGCGCTCACACCCCCAAAACCCACCCCTAATTAAATTACACATATAAGTGCCCCAAATAAAGTGAACTTGTTCGGATATTGGAAAACTAAAAACGCTAAAAAATTTCTAAAATTATAAGCTACTAATCCCACCAGGTTAGAACCGGCGCTCACACCCCCAAAACCCACCCCTAATTAAATAACACATATAAGTGCCCCAAATAAAGTGAACTTGTTCGGATATTGGAAAACTAAAAACGCTAAAAAATTTCTAAAATTATAAGCTACTAATCCCACCAGGTAAGAACCGGCGCTCGCACCCCCAAAACCCACCCCTGATTTAATTACACATATAAGGGCCCCAAAAAAAGAGAACTTGTTCGCATATTGGAAAACTAAAAACGCAATAAATTTTCTAAAATTATAAGCAACTAATCCCACCAGGTTAGAACCGGCGCTCACACCCCCAAAACCCACCCCTAATTAAATTACACATATAAGTGCCCCAAATCAAGGGAACTTGTTCGGATAATGGAAAACTAAAAACGCAATAAATTTTCTAAAATTATAAGCAACTAATCCCACCAGGTTAGAACCGGCGCTCACACCCCCAAAACCCACCCCTAATTAAATTACAGTTTTAAGTGCCCCAAATCAAGGGAACTTGTTCGGATAATGGAAAACTAAAAACGCAATAAATTTTCTAAAATTATAAGCAACTAATCCCACCAGGTTAGAACCGGCGCTCACACCCCCAAAACCCACCCCTAATTAAATTACACTTTTAAGTGCCCCAAATCAAGGGAACTTGTTCGGATAATGGAAAACTAAAAACGCAATAAATTTTCTAAAATTATAAGCAACTAATCCCACCATGCTAGAACCGAAGCTCACACCCCCAAAACCCACCCCTAATTAAATTACACATATAAGTGCCCCAAATAAAGTGAACTTGTTCGGATATTGGAAAACTAAAAACGCTAAAAAATTTCTAAAATTATCAGCAACTAATCCCACCAGGTTATAACCGTCGCGCGCACCCCCAAAGCCTACCCTTAAATTTAAAAATTAATTTTTAAGTGAAAGATTAGTGCAATAAATTTTAGCTTATTGAATAAAATTCCTAAATTTTTATATAAAATTGATAGGGGAGAGTAGGCTACATTGAACTAGCGTCAACAGTGAACCATTTCAATTTTCTGAGAAATGACTGAGTGAAATTTTTTCTTATTTAATATATAAGTTAGTTTTACCAAAACAAACTATGTCCAAAAATTTCGGGCACGTAGGTTTATTATTTATAAAGAAAAACTAAAAAAACTGTTTTTCACGTACAAAACAAAAAATTTTGTGGAAATATAATCAAGTTTTTTTTTTAAATAGGAAGTTTGAAAAATTAGTAACTTGTGATTTATTTCGCTTTGGGTGTCAACTTCAATATTCCGATGTGATAAAGAATTTTAACTCTTACATAAATTTATTATAAACAATTTTTGTTGTGAATGTCATGTGAATACAGTAAGTGCGGCATCATTGAACCACCCGAAAAAGCAAAGAATTTTCAATGTTAAGAGTTGTAAAGTTGTCTGCTCTACTAATTAGTAAGAAAAATACTGGAAGACATGCTTTCATCACAATTGTCAACGTGATAAACTTAAACTGTCACTTTTGCTACCTAACCTGACATTGAAATATATTAATCTCCTATATAAACAAATAATAACTATTTAACAATAATTTTCTATTTTTTTGAGTAAAAAATAAGATTTTTTACAATTTGTAAGTGGAAATATTATTTTTGAAGTAAATTGCAGTGTTTTATTAGAGGTGGTTCAATGTAGACACAGATCCTTCAAAATAAGAAAAGTGTAACTTGTTAGAAAAAAATTAGATTTAATTATTTAATGATAATAATTTGTGTCTGTAACGTGTGTATTAAGTAAAGGAGTACTTCAGTTTAATTTTGATACAAAAACCTGATCAAAATTAGTAACATTTAATTAGTTCTTGGACTTTATAAAAAACCCGGTTCAATGTAGCCTACCCTTCCCTATTCTAACTTTTCATTTAAATAAACAGATTTTACAAAATTATTTGCCAAATTAATTTATTAAAAAAAATTTGCCATTATGAATAACAATAATGCCAAATGCAAATAAGTACCGAATATTGACATTACACCATTAAAACAAATACGAGACTTTTGTACATAAGAACATTGTTTAAATATTTACCAGAAGAATAATAAAACAATAAAGAATATTTCAAGATACAGTAAAAAAATGCTTCATATTAATCATAATCAACTCTCTGAATCTGAATCTGAATTAGTACTCTCTAAATCTGAATTAGTAGAAAGTTACTAATGAAATGGTGAAAAGTCGTCCACCAAATGATTTAGTAATATATTACTAACAAAAAACAAATAGTGAATTTTACTAATTGATTAGTAGATTTCTACTAACAATTAGTAGAACTGTTTTATTAATAGTCGATAAAATAGTTTTACTAATTCATTTAGTGAAATGAGTGACTTTTAATTAGTGAATTTCTACTAAAACTTCAGTAAAATTTTACTTAGAATTAGTAATATTCTACTAATTGAAAAGGGGAAAAGTCGTCCATGAAAACTACTAAAAATTAGACAAATTTTACTATTTCTTAGTAGAATTCTACTAATTCAGATTTAGAGAGTAAGATTCTACTAATTCTTAGTAAAATATTACTAATTGAAATGGGGAAAAGTCGTCCACCTAGAATTAGTAGAAAACTACTAATTCAAATAGTCATTACTAATTGAATTAGTAAAAGGATAAATGCAAAAGGTGCAGGTTTGCACATGCGCATATTTAGACGCCATTAGTTCTTACTAAATGAATTAGTAAAATATTTATTCTTAGAAATTTTAACCAATATTTAGAATTAAATATTTTTTAAAGACACATTATTTATTA